GTTGGAAAAAACTCAATTGGGTTAGGTAGTACAACTGATGCAAGAACATTGAGCGCAGGAGAAGAGAGAGATGTGCATATAGATGACCTTGATTATGACTTGGAAAATGATGCATTCATAAGTCAATCTCAAAGTGACCCACCTTTTCCCTCCACATCACCGCTCTTATCTCCTAAAAGTCACGAGGTTCCCATGCAAAAAATAACACAAACCAAAAGAAACAGGAGTACATATGAAGGAAGTGGCGTCATGGAAAGGCTAAACGAAATATCTACAAGTTTCAAAGGAATTTATAGCCTGCTAGAGAAAAGAGAAAGAGAAAGAGAATATACAATTTGGGATGCCATCAAGGATATCCCGGGCTTAGATGAGGAAACCCAGTTTAAGGCGGTTGAGTTGCTTGATAACAAAGGAAAAAAAGATGTCTTCTTGAAGATGTCACCTGAAGAACGGTTAAGTTGGATACACCACAAGATGAGAGGGTAAAATGAGAAGATATATTAGGATGAATGAAAGGATTATGTGATTTTATTTTAAATGTTTTATTTGACTTTGTTTTTGCTGAGAGTAAAGAGTACTCTAGTTTATTAAATTGTTTTTGGGTACTTGCGTATTATTATTAAGTTGTTCCTAAAATATGTTTGGTTTAATATCTTCTTATGGTTCATATACTTTAGAATTGTAGTATTGTATTATATTTTTATGGTACATACTCATATATTATTTTGTGCTAATAAATTTATAATAATGATAATAATATTTAAAAAATAATTTATTTTTATTTTAATATATTATTTTTAGTTTAAGTTTTTGTTCAATTTCCTAAATATAATTAATGTTAGCATAATGTATGAATTTTTAAAAGAATAAATAATCCATTGATTATAAACAATCTACTAGAATCCTATGAAATCCGTTGATAAAATACAGTAAAATCTAGTTAACTCTGCGTAAACTTTTATTAATCCATTGATTTTACAGAATCAACAGACTCTAAACAATCTATCAGAATCTTATAAAATCTAGATTGAATACACCCCCCTGAAACTAAAGAAGCTACATCTTGTTTTTCAATATTTACACAAAAGGCTTAAAGTAAAAAGGCATAAAGTGAAAAGGAATGCAGTGGGAAATTTTCCATATGAAGCCAGGATATACTGTATATGAAATTTACACAAAATTTCTCTCATACCTAAACAACAAAACTATGTGATTAAATTAGTATAGTGCATGATGCTTAATCACCTAATGATGTGAATTTGTGATAAAATTATTGAGAACATATTCAGAAGTGAGAGAAATTCATTTTATTGTCATTTAAGGAAGAAGAATGTTTTTTTGTGAAATAGTATAGGGATACAATTTATAAATATATTCCAAGTATAGATTGAGTTCAATATTGTACCTATGACATGAAGTAAAGCTTCCCGAATAGTGTTTGCTCCACCGAGCATTCAATGGTGCATGCATTCCAGCTTTAGCAGCTGTTAAAGTCTGCTGCTCCATAACCTCATGTATAGGCGGGCAACCTTGGTCATTCATCTCATCAAACTCGTC